GTAAATTTACCAGTCTGCTTGCGTAGCACGTCATTAGACATAATAATTTCAGTTAAAGTATCATTTCAATATTTCATTCAAAAAATTAGCCGAAATTAGATGCGAAACTCTGGGAGTGCTCCTCTCCCCCAAAGTTCCGTGCGGCGCTCTAGCATCCCTTTTTTTTTTTTTCGCTGATTTTTTTTTTACTCGCGCGACACACTCGCCAAAAAGAAGGGGTTGCTCGTTTTCTAATTGGAATTTGAAACCTAAATATCAAACGTAACCTGTTCCACCGATTAAAACGAGTCAATAACCCGGTATTTCTAGTTTATTCACCCAGGTTGTGACGGGTAGGTTATCGGAAAATTGGGCGGCTTCGTGTGACAGTCGTCATCTCATTAAGCGCCTGTCATTACTGAGTTGAAATCAAACGAACAATGGCGTCAATAATTCTGCTTCCCCTTTCGCAACTCATCAGATCAAAAGACGGATTCTCTATTTTGTTTTCCAGTATCCGGTCAAGCTCCTTCCTCAAGTCTCGTACAAGTGTTGCAACCTGGAAGAGAACAAAGAGGAAAGCAGAAAAAAAAATAAACAGATAACCTTGGATGAAAATCACTACCGAACCCTTTATACCCTAAAATCAGTTTTCATATTCTCCATACTGTTCTCCATAAATTTTCTAGCCCGCTGACTAGGAGAATTTGTTTGACGATCGACAGCTTGTTTAGTTAATGATCATTTCCCTTAGTCTGACGACTTTAAAGTTTGATTCAGGGGTGATATTGTTAGGAGAAATTAGATGTTTGTCACTAGGTGAATGCAAACATGCGTCCAAAATAGCACAAAGTTTTTTTAACGAGGCCACCTACCTCGTGCGAAGATGCAGAAAAACGGATCCAGCCATCGTCAATAGAGATGACGAAAACACCTTTCTCCAGGTTGACAGACAAATTGTCTCCACAGAAGAGAAGTAAAGAATACTCTGACACCATACTGCAGTCTCGGATGTAAACCTGAAAAGGATCTCGTATATGTCAAACTTAAGTCATGTCTAGTTCAGATGCAACTTCCAATCCTGGCTGAAGCAAAAGTTAAAGTCTTAGAGCCTTTGGGGCTTTAGAGTGACTAATAAAGTTGCTGCTCCACGAGGATAGGATTTCACTCAGAATACATCTTGTCCCCCCCTCCCCCTGTGGGATAAGTGGGATAATTTGTTTTAAAAGTCAACAACATGCAAAATTTATAACTCAGCAGGTGAAAACGCGCATATCCGAAGAATCTGCATGGCATGCATCTTTTCCTCTACTAGATACTCAATTATTATCGCATGAATAAGAGCCTGCTGATACACAAGGTAGACCAGCGGCATAAACCAGATAAAGTATGACGCGTGGCGATTCGTAACTACCCTCCCCCCCTCCACCCTTTAAAAAATCATAGCAATCCCTTGATTTCTAAAAGACTTTGCCACAAAAACTTAACTCTAATTCTATCAATGAACATGTTACCTTGGATGTCTTGACTTTCTCGTGATACACGAGATATGGACTGTCGAACGAGTTCACTTGAAAATTGACCGATTTGGGATGAATAAACACCTGCAGAGGAAAGAGCGATTTTACTCGCAACGATTTTTAAAGTCTGATTCTATGGGCACAACGTGATGTGGAGCTTTCTCTTCCTCTCATGGTCTCGCAATTGTGAACAAGAGCTGTTGCGGCAGTGACGACTGCGGGAGCCGAGCCACTAATTGAAACTGACCAATCGCAAGTTACTTATGCTACCTGAGTCTTAGAGCTAATAATATTACGACAAAAACTGACCAAGCCTCTTTCTAGCCTTAAACTCTTTCACTCCCAAGACCTCATTCACAATTCTGCGTACTGTCGACCACAAAATTCTTATGATGTTAGTTCTGAGAATTTGGTATTGGATCAATTAATAATCCCCAAATTGTTATTTTTCTTTATTCTCATCACTCGTCGGCTTGATATTGTGTGGTATTGTGAGGAGAAATTATTTCTTGGTCACTTCTGGGAGTTAAAGTTTTACACTCTTTGAGCACCTCTTCACCCTTATAATGACTTTTGCACAGGTTGTCAAAACGCAGTCAGTTAGTTTCAGGAACAATCTCACTAAGACTATCAGAAAACACGATCTCCACTCTACTCGCTGACCTGGCCGTCATTCTTCGTCCAAAACTTCAGTTCAGCTGCTTTGGAATCCACAGGAACAGCCCCTGTTAGAGAAACGAACAACCCAAAATGTATTGTTTTCTCGAAAATCACTTTAAGCAACAAGTAAAAATCAGAAGCGTAATTTCAATAAACTTATCATTGATTTCTGCGAGGTTACGTAACGCATGCGTTATTCGTGTATCTTTTCCCTTAAGAATTCCTTTCTGGATTTCTTTCAATCCTGTTTGTCAGATGCGTGTTTGTGGCCGTTTTTAGCAATTATATGACATTTGATTGTCGGTGGAGCTTTAAAAGTATCTTGGTCACCACTAAAACACGAACAGCTCTCTGCTAAGGCTATTTGCTCTGTTCTTTTAGTACCTTAAAGGTTTGACTATGTGATGCGTATGAAGGCGTGGATGGAATAATCAGCGTCCTTGACCATTCACTCACCTGCAACAGACGCCTTGTATTTCACGTCTGGTTTGACAACTTGAACGATGTTCGGGAATAAAGCGGCGCAAACAACTCCCAAAACTAACTTCTGATTCTTCGAGTTCACGTTGACCTAACGAGGCAAGAAAGAGAGTAAAGTGATCAGAAACACCTGGTTCTGTTATTGGAGGTTGTAACATAGCGACCGGAAAGCACGCAAAGTGGGCCACAGCGCCAGAGCTTATAGCAGTCTAAATAGTATGAAGCAACAAGGAGTACTACTACTCTTGTACATGGGATTTTGTAAGGTACCCTGACAATTCGCCGGCACCATTTATGATTTATGATTTTCAGATGGCACATTATTCATAATACTATTATTTGAAGCGCTTTACAACAGTTTGTTGGGGACTTTGGCCAGATTGCATAAGACAGTTTATAAAGGAAATTTGCAAGTGCCTCCAATTTTGGAAACAAGACCAGGCAACAACACCGGGAACTACGTTCCACGCTCTTTATGAGAAGTGTTTGGTTTCTAAAACGTCCCCTGCTACAGAGAAGCTACAGCGAAGATACAGGAGACGGAGCCCAGGATTTATGGTCATTACCCAAGAAGACTAGAATTTCTAACCATTTGCAGATGTCATAGCAAACGCAGCAAATTCTCTTCTGTTATTTTAAAACCCTGAGCGTTGGTCCAGTCCGGGACTTGAACCCTCAACCTCCTGCCTAGGCGCTCTACAACACGTGATAGAGCACCGTGCGATGACCATGGACCAGGATCTCGATCCTTCCCTCGTTGGTACCTGTTCTAAGACAAGTAACCCCACCCCAGTGACATACCTCGTCACCTGTCGCAGCCAACACTCCGTCTCCAGTTCTCGGCGCCAGTCTCCCTATCTGTCTGGTCGTGAGATCTGCTCTGATGAACCCGATATCTGACAATAGTTCAGCGTATTGACACTTGAGGCTTGCTATCATCTACATGGAAAAAGAAGCAAACTCTTGGAGCTACTTACAGAATGGGCACTTAACAAAATATATTTCTAGGGTTGCAAAAAAAGTCTCTTTTCGTTTTAACTTTGACTTCTCACTCTCTGTGGTATGTTCTTCCTTCCTCAGAGGCCTTACAGCATTGCATAAGCTAACCTGAAGTGTCTTCATGGACAAAAAGTTTGTACGGCAGTAATGATGTCCAGCAGCAATTCCACTTGCCATGGTCTCCAGCCAGCCCTGAAAATGAAAATCTTTGTTAATTTATATTGGTCTGAAGAAATCGTTCCACGAGCTAAATAGTCAAAACCACCGAGCAGATGTCATATTTTGCACCTTATCTTCTTCCCCTTCACTGAGGCTGGATGAGAATAAAATAGGTTCTGACAAAAAGCCTGTATTAAGGCAGTCAAATTGTGCTATTTCAAAATGGATGCAATAAATAAAAGTGAATGTTGAACTTCGAGTTGTGCAGTACCGATTCGTGATTTCAATTGGAGCTTGCAGTACGCGCATATTCAAAGCAAACTTGCATTCGTCACGAGACCCGAGCGGCCCCGCGCCTGCTTTGATTGAAAAACATTGCAATAAAATTATCGTGTAGGAGCCATACGTGATGACTCGAGTGGGACCGTTAAGGCCGCCCTGCCTTGCGCAAGGAGGGGGGGAGCCAACGCAAGGGTGATTTATTGATTTATTTCTTTATTGAGTGAATTAGGTCAGACCGGGCGAGAAAAAAAATTTGACTCTCAGTCATGACTTAGCTGTTGACCCTAGCCTACCACTCGCTCAATAGACGCATACCATTACATTGTGAAGGACTGCAGGTGGAATAATCTTTCAAAATACCTTGTAGCTTTTCAGCAAAGTCATGTGATCGCTGTTACCAATGGCCATTTCTTGTCGTTTCTTATCTGCTTCTTCTCTTTTGTCGAACGGAGCAGACTAAAAATGTACACAGAAAACTAAGCAGGGCACGAAACTAACCAAACAAGATGGCTGTAAACAAGCAAAGAAGGGAGGTGCGGAGCATATCCACTTTTCTGTGGCTATGGCATGAAGCGACTGGGGGTATCGCTTTCTGCTTTCCCCTAGATAGGATACTAGTCTATTGTCTAGCCCATCCCTGTCCCGAAAATTTCATAGGATTTCCTGACAGTTCGCCGGTATTCAAATTATAATCCTGGGTTGAGAGAGGCAGGGCGAGAGTGAATTGTGGCGCCCTTGAACGCAAGGCATTCACTCCAGAAGAAGGTTCGAACCCAGACCTCTCGATCTAGCGACCAATGCACTATGCATTAGCTGACTGCGTCTCCTCTCCCACAGTTCATTTAATACTTACAAATGGAGACCGATAGCTGAGTATGGCTCCAATCGTCAGCACAGGGTCCAAACACCGGAAAATTGCACCGAGCAACATCAGCTTGCCAATCCTATAAAACAAAATGTGAAAAATTGAGAATCGATAAACGTTTGCTGCCTATTCTATAGATGCAGGACAAACGCCTTGGTGGTATAAACTCACCGAACATCAACAGGCAAAGCTGCTAGGTGATAACCAAGAGAAGTGAGATTCTAAAAAAACAGAAAGTACACATGTCCATGTTCACTTTTTTAAAAACACTTTTAAATACAAAGGGGGTGGAGAGATTGGGGATCTTCCTTCTTACAAACCCTAAGGGCGGAGAGGTTGTGGTATACGCCAATTTCATACGTCACCATGTACCTCGTCGGTATCCAGTGCTCCAATGTTATGCAACCGTTTAATTGCGTCGTTGATCGATTCCTCGGAAGGTGGTTGTAGGAGTTTACCAAGAACATCCTGTGATGTGGGTCAAACGTATAGTAACGTTAGAGGTTGAATAAGGAAAGAAAAGTAAATACTCTGAGTTTCACGCAAAGGATTCTTACAATTTCGCTGTCGGATGCCCCCCACCACTGAGCCATAGTGAGCAACTCACGGGGCTTCAAGCTCAACTCTTTCCAAACTCACCATTTGGCGACTACAAAAAGAGTAGCCTAAAATAACATTTTGGCCATTAAAAAAATACTTTGTGCAATATTACACAACGGACTTTGGTTACAGAGATCCAGGGACATATAAAGGTTTTCTATTCAGCCAACCAAGAAAGAGGGAGGCACGAGTAATATTTTATGAAAATGTAAATCAAGAGTTCACTTCAGAGCATGAAGACTCAGCTATTGAACGTTTGAACTTGCTTCTTGAACTTCTATGTAAAGCAAGCAAGAAAAACGAGGACACACACACACGAAAAAAAAACCAAACTAGAAATATATTTTTATTGATTTGGTTTTCCCTCCAAATAATCCAAGTCCAACTAACCTTTATCTCTCGCCCGAAGAACAGCGTCAGTACTTTAATACGAAGACATAGCTTCTCCAAAGGAACTCGCTGGATTTCTGAATTAAAAAAAACACATTTGGAAGAGTATACGCTAAGTTTAAGCCCCATCTATAATGACTTGTTATCAGAAATGTAACAGGCATGTCGAAGACTCAAAAATCCATTTTAGAGCAACATTGCTTAGAATCATCGACGATTCATGGTTTTAACATCGTATGGTTGTCTTTGAGTTAACGGTAAACATTTCACAGATGGCCCATAGAAAAACATTATACTTGGAGATAGCAAGGGAATATTGTTTGGGATTATTTTCCGACGATGAATTGTCACTTGGGTTTGGAAAGTTATTCAGCATTGCATAGGGTTTGCTCTGCACCACTCTCTTATTAGTCTACGAAACTCGCGCTATCCTCCCTTTCCACCAATCAGATTAATTGGGCCACTCGCGGTTTTTCGCGGGCAAGGTAGTTTGCTCTATTCTAACACGCATTTTCATTGGTTCCTTGTTATATTTCCTGTGTTCTAATTAGCCATTTTGCCTACTCTGGTTCTGAGACACTCATACAATATGTAATTAAACATTAAAATTATTTCTTGATTAAGTTGAATTTTTCGTAATCTATTCATTTTTACCTGGAATCTGATGGCCGGCCATTTGGTGTTGAAATCGATGACTGGTAAACAAGTGAAAACAAACCCCGGATGTGACTCGGCCCGCTCTTCCTCGTCTCTGACGAGCATTGGCTTGTGATACCCAGACTTCCTCCAGGCTCTCCATCCCCTTTACTGAATCATACCTGCATATAACAAGATATCGAATATCCACAAATTATTTTTGTGTAACAAAATAGCGTCAGATGACTTGTTAACCAGGTTCTTTCTTGGGTAAAGACTTGAAGGCCTTAACGCAAACTCTTGAAGATTTGTTTTCATGTATGAAAGAGTTAAAACAGCCCAACTATTTTTAACATGGAATTCATTGAATATTATTGAAACTCATTACTTCAGTCATGGACCTTCCATCCTCCCCTTTCTCTATTCCCATGCAGCAACTTTTGCAAGTAAGTGTAGTAAATAATCCATGACAAAATTAGAAATACATTGCACTCCGTGATTGGTTACGAGAAAAAAGAACCGGACCTTCTCTCAATCAATGTCTACGTTGAGCCCTCATTGGCTCCTCATGATATTTTCCTATGTTCGGATTGGCTGATATCATTGCTTTGGTTTGACTTTATGACAATGGACTACAAAGCGCTCTACGCGAGCTTACCGAAAAAAGAAAATATCGCGTTTTTATACCAGAACTTACCTGTTCTCTTTCATTCTTCCACAGTCGATGACAAACACGACATCATCTATAGTCACTGAAGTCTCAGCGATGTTGGTGGATAGAACAATCTTTCGGACTCCTTCTTTTTGTTTCCTGTAATGCGCAATTGTTAGAATACATTCTCTACTGTCAGTACTTATGACCTATGAGGCCCCGCAATTTTTTTTTTAACAACATTTTAAAAAATCCCTGGATGAGGACACGAGCAGGGCCATAAAAATCTGTTCGACCATTTTTCCACGTCCCCGCAAGATGCAAAACGTAAGAAAGGAACAAAGAAAATAAGAAGCAGCCACAAGATAAAACGCTTTTAGAACGGGTTAGTTCGGGCTGTGCCGGAAAATATTTTCGTAGAGGTCATGACACACGGACCCAACCCACGCTTAGCCTTCCCACTCAGTCGCTAACTACATATTACTACGAAGAAACAGCACAGATTTCAAAAGGATCAAATCAAGGAAGACGGCAAACTTGAGCTCGTATGTGGAATAGAGGAAAATGTTATTCCCTATCACGACCGCGGGACAAACAAAACATCTCAGTTTCCATGAGGATTCAAACTTGAGAGCTTTGAAATTCGCGCTCTGATGCTCAGAGCCACAGAGAGCTCATAGATGCTCTGTCTGTTCGGATCATTAATTTACGAAGTGTGGCATGAGTTCTTATTCAAGACGGAACATTTTGCACTTACTTGAAGACCAAACTCTGTTCTTCACTTGAAAGTGTAGAATGCAGAGGGAGTATCTTGAATCTGAAAGTAAAGAATGATGGATCTGCCTCAAAAGATGAATATCTTACTTGTTCCTTGAATTTCTTATCCTTTTGATGAACTTAATTTCCTCCGCAAGAGGTAAGAAATAATTACACTTTCAAATTGTGTACCTGTCTGAGCTTTTCGGACTGAATCTTTTATTATTCTGAAGTTGATCCAGCAAAGTCGTGATCTCTCCCATGCCTGGCAGAAACACCAGAATAGCTCCTGTTTTAGGGTACTGCAATAACAGATAAACAACAACAACACTTTAAATTAGCTCAGATCTAATGACTCGTTGTGGAAGTTACAGAGACGTACATGTCACTTGGATTTTCCAAAGGAGGGGTTGGGGGCAGTCAGGGGGTGGCAAAATCAGGGGGGCACGTAAAGAGTTTATAAAGCTGACGTTGCGAGCATTCGCTCTTCATGGCCAATTTGCTTCATCAACTCAGTTGATAAAACCAATATTTGTCTAAGAATTCCCTCACCAACGCAGCACCACGGTTTCTTTAGAAACTTACCCATTTTTTTCAATACATTAAAGACAGACACATAGTGTTACCTCATGTTCCTCTTCCACAATCCACTCCAGGATGGCAACAACCAGATCATAATTAATCTTGTTGTGATCCATTGTACAAAGAGACAAAATTGTACTTTTACCGTAATCTGTGATGAACAAAAAATATTGTCAAGTGTTGTTGTGTTCTAAGGCAAGACATTAATCTCTCAGCGACAGCCCAACTCTCTACTAAGGAATATACAGTACCGCTCACAAAAACAAAGCACACAAAACGCGCCAATAATCGCATGCAAGTGCGCATAAAAAAAATGTGCGAGTCAAAATTCTGCACGTACGCACATACTGATATTTAGAAGTAGAGGGTTAAGAAATAACTTGTTTAGTGATTCACTCATCTATAACTTGCAAAAGCCTCCCAAGAATATAATTTTTGTACTGACTATCAGAATAACCATAATTAAACTTTAAATTTACAAACAAAATTTATGTATGATTTATGAATATTCTTCACTTACTGGAGTATCTCCAGGCCATCTGGTCTTCTGTCAAGTTCTGATCATCAAATTTGTCATCAGGAGGCTTGAAGTCAGCAGATGAGAAAGAGTCTTGTATGTTTTGAATGTCTTTGTTTAACTGACCCTTTTTACCAGCTGTGTTGAGGACAGTGGAACTTTTCAAAGGCTTTGCATAGGGGGAACTGGGATCCACTTGATACCTGAAGAAAAGGGAGAATTCAAACTCTTAAATTGAAAAAAACAACAGTAGTTGTATCATTGATTGCTTGAGCTGTCTAAACATAAGAAAAACTTTCCTGGAAATTGAACCAGGAAACAAGACCAGATTATAAGGATAATATATTTGCAAAATAACTCTAGAATATATTTTTAGTCACCTTAAGGTTTTTTAAAATGCTTAATTCAAATTTAATAACCATTCATCAAATATCTTTTGAAGCACAGGTGAATAAGCATTTACAGACAGCTTTATGTCAAAAAGTTTTTTTCTTTATTATTCAGTGTGATGTTGACTTTTCAGAGTTCTCTGAAAGATTTTCATGAACAAACAAGTAAAACTTTGTCTCTTATTTGCTAACAACAACAAAAAGTTCTCCCATCTTGAATTAATAATTATTTAAACAAGGTCTTCCGTCTTATTGGATCTAAAGTCTGGAAATTCTAAAAAGCTCATAAACTTAACATAGACTTTTTGATCGCCATAAGAAATGGTACACTGGTAAAACATTAAGAAAAGAGGGGATATTTCATTCCTGTTCTAGTAAAGTAACTCCCCATTCTACCATTCCACCATTAGCATTAAGTTAAATAATAATGTATTGTGCCACACAAATTTGTAGGCTGTTTTTGCACTTTATGTAATAAGCTGGTTTTATTCAACATTCTACATCCCTGTCCTCTGTAGTATTATTTACTGTAGAGTAATTGCAATGTTAGCATTGAAAGCAATATTTGGTCTTGTACATTATGTTACTTTTAGTACTTTATGTCATATATGTAAATAAGTAAAATTAGCGCTGTAACTGTTGTTACTATTGTAAGTAGTAATTTGGTTTTTGAAAGTAAAGTTTGTTTTAGTAAAGTAATGCAAGATCATAAGAAATGTCAGTAATGTTAATGTTACAGGTGATATATGTAAATAATAATGTGTATATTCAAATCAAATAAAAAAAAAAAAAAAAGCTCATGAAATATTACCAGATGGTTCCCAGTTTGAGGTGGAGAATATTTGATCATGTGATGCCTTTAGACAATCATGGGCAAGTACAAATACTTGATACCTTTTAATGTGGCAAATATGTACATGACAGACACACACTTTCCTGTTCTAACATTTCCATATAATAAAAAAATTATACCCACTTTGTCAAGTCTATGGAATCCTCCAGAAAGAATTCAACAACAGGAAAAGTCCGACCTGGGTGCAGCAATTAGAAATATTTCAAAAGGTAATTAAAAAAGCCTGAAACATTTTTCATTGCAACTGAACTCCCAAAATCATAGCATTCAACCTTGATAACTTGAACAGCAATACTCCCCAGATCATTTTATTAATCACTTGAAAAATTTCCTGATAAATGACACTTCCGGTTGAAATATTAAGAAAAGCACAAGTAATTGAAAAATATATCCTTCTAATATCATGCTAATAAAATAGAATCAAATAAATCACATCACATCAGGCCTCTAAACTCTGAGATGAACTCCACAAGAAACATTGTTTATTTTTTGTCTATTTGTTGATTTATTTTTTTTAAGGAGGATGGCAAAGTTTTCCCTATGAGAAGCCTCCACTGCAAGAAGGAAGAAACAACAGTCACTGTACAAAAGATTGCACTGTACCTGGTATGTGAATAACAGGAGCATCGTAGAAGTATCCTGAGAATAGCTGAGCATTCAATGTAGCACTCATTAGTATGACACGGATGTCTGCTCGCACAGTTATCAGGTCTTTCAGAACCATCATCAAAAAATCACTGAAAATTCAAACAGTAAACTGTCTCTTTTAATGCATCTCACATCCTGCCTCAAACATTGGTTACACACTTAAAGGTTGATGCAAAAGTATCATCGTTAATAACCATTTGTTTTCTCCAGTTGTTGATTTAGTTTTATTTACAACATCAATGCATCTCACATGATACATGAACTCTTTGACAATTAATTACTAGTGATATGTTACTCAAGCATTAAAACAAAATTGTTACCAATGGTAGTTTCTGGCTGATTACCAACTAGTAACCTGTTTCTGCAGCCAATAGGGAGGTGTAAGTTACATGACAATTTTAAATCTACCAGCTTGCTACAATCACTCATTGAAACATACTTCCTCCAAGACATTTGTTGAATACTCCCAAAAAATTTCTCACCGAGATGCCTTTCAACTTTACAAATAAGTTTTATTACAGAAAGACCACAACAAATCTGCACTAAGATGTGATACTGACACAAGTTGATTTCATGTCGTCCTAATTATAAAATGCTTCCAATTTTCACACTGCTTCCAATCAATACCATCAAGGTTTCAAATATCCCTTTGACAATGCTGTTTACCTTGTAAATATCTGTAACTGACAAATAAAAGAACATGTCGCACACAGCATTAAATGCTCACCCTTCCTCTGTTCTTTCGTGAACTTCATCCACAATAATATGGCTCACACCTGGCAAAGTGGATTCCCCCTCTAAGCGCCGCAGAAGGATTCCAGTAGTGCAGTACAACAACCGTGTTTCTGAGGACTTAAAGAGAACAATTGAAAATATCAGAATAACCAGGGTTAATATTTGTATTTACAAAAAGACATTCTCTGGTTAAAAATATTAAAATAAATTAAAAATGTAACCTGTGAGCCTTAAGTCAAAATCCTCTCTTCTACATGTACATCTTAGTTCATAGAGGCTTTAGAGTGTTAGTCCAAAGCTTAGTATGAGTATATATTTTTTTTTACCCTTTTACTCCCAGAAGTGTACATGTAACTTCTCCCAATAATATCAGTACATTTTCCATCAAAAAGGTAATGAGAATTCTCAAACTTATCAGGTAGAAGTTGCTATCTTGATCTAACACCTAACTCTCATAACTAATTTACGAGGAAATTTGTAGCAGCTGAAGGGAAAAATTTCATGTAACAATCAGATCTTGGGAGTTAAAAGATTGATTTAAGAAATGATTCTATACAGTGAAGGCATTTTTCTGTAGAATATGAAAGACAACAGAGAATAAGAACTTCATAAAGGGCTTTGCTCTCCACAGAGTCTTTGTAGTTCAGGGGCAGAGCATTGGAGTATTGAAGCTGAAGTTGTGAGGTTTGATTTCTCATGGGGACTCAGAATTTTTTCTTTATTCCATGCTTGTGACAAGAAGAAAAACATATTTCTCTATCTTCTAAATAATTTATATCTGTGCATCCAAGTTACACTGTAGAGGTGTTTGCAAACATAGACCTGTACCTGTTTATTTTCCAGCCTGACTTGATAACCAACTGACTGTCCAATCTTGTCTACTCTCTCACTGGACACTCTTTCTGCGACAGACATGGCTGAGATGCGACGAGGCTGTGTACAGATAATGAAGCATTCACCTCCATGTCCTGCCTTAAGATGGCTGTCCAGGATGAATTGAGGAATCTGAGTTGTCTTTCCACAACTGAAAAAAAAATGAGATGATGAGTTTGAAGTCTGAACCTAAATCAAGTAAAATTCATTGATTGAAAAATCTGAAATACAGATAATAGAGAAAGATGTTCTTCCTTCAGTCACAAACAGTCAACTTCCTCACTCTGCAACTTTAGTTGCCAAAAATTTTACTGATTGCCATGGTATTTACAGCTTAGAGTGGATATGTGATGGCTCAACCATTAACCTACTCGACTCTTAAGAGGTCTGGGTTCAAGATGTTGCCAGGTCACTACGTTATTAGACAAGACACTTCACTCTCACCATGTCTCTCTGAACCCAGGGGTGTAAATGGGTACAGGCTAACTGTCAGGGAAAGCTAACAAAATGCCTGTGCATAGCCTGCAATGGACAAGCATTCCATCCAGGGAGGGAGGAATAGCAATACTTCCAGTTGCTTCATGCTACAGAAACTGGGATAACTTTTGGCTAGATGAGCCACTTGGCTTAACCCTTTAACTCCCATGACTAACCAGGTCAGAATTTCTCTTTACAATATCAATACAATATCAAGCTGACAAGTGATGGGAATAAAGAAAAATATCAATTAGGGAATTATGAGTGGATCCCATACCAAATTCTCCAAACTAACATCACAAGAACTGTATGGTAGACAATAAGGAGAATTACTACTGAGATCTTGGGAGTTAAAGGGTGAAGAGCAGACTAATTACCCATATTTTGAAGATTGAAGCCCTAAAAATCTACTAAATGCAATATGGCTATTACCCTGTCATTCCACTAATAACAAGAACCTGATGGTCTTGGAGTTGTTCAATGATGTTCTGCTGTGACTGCCATGCAGGGAGTTTTTTCCTTTCCTTCAGCATTGACTGATAAGCTGTGACTGACTTCAGATAAAAATAAATGTAGGGATTAAAAAAGTTAACTTAGACTTCTATGATAAAAATTATCAGTGATTGTGAGTACACCTTACAATGCACTCCAGTAGACTTATCAAATGAATGTCGGGGGTTACTTATAATATCCAGTTAAGCAGGTAGGGAAATTTATTGTGACCAAAAAAGAGGTCTGAGGTAGAGGGTAAGAGATTGCTGATGTTTGGGGCTCTTGTTCATCCAGAAATCCTGGGGAATTCTCTTTCTATAGGTCAATTTTAATTCCTTAAGGATTTTTAAAGATCTACAACAATTACACATACATTTAGCTATTATCTACAGCTCTGATGTCATTATGTTGTCATCTTTGACCTACAAGTATACAGTACATAAAGATATATCAATTACATTTACTGTGAGTTTACTATCTTTAACTCCCAAGATCTGGTTATTAATTCTCCCCTCAAGCTGTTACACCTTTTCTTTCTACATAAGTTGGGAGAATTTGGTGTTAGTTCAAGGAAACAACTTCTACATGATAAATTGAAGTATCCTCATTATCGATACCTGTTTGCAGGATACTTTATGAATATAATTGGGAGAAGTTACATGTTAGTCACTTCTGGGAGTTAAAGGGTTAATTACTTTAGGCCAACAGAAACATTCAATTCAACTCTTAATATAAGAAAAGTTACCTGCAATCGCTGAAATTGTTCTTTCAGTTTCCTACTTTTTTCATGGATGCTGACCTTGTCTGTGGATGTCTTTGGCTGTGTTGTTTCTGATTTCTCATCTGCCGCTTTTTTCCTTGTGGGGAAATCACTGTGATATTCTTTCGCAGAATGAATGGAAATACTTTTCTTTAATGGCAAACTATACTCAGAAGGTGGCACATTAAAGCAAGCAAGGATTTCATCTTCATCCTCTAGGAGGCTAGCGAGGCAAAACACCACAGGGCTCTCGGCATCACACAACTCCTTGGCTTCTCTGTTCAACCTTAATGTGACATTGAGACAGCCTGATGATGGAACTGATTCATGTGTGGAGTAAAAAACAACCATTGGAGGTTCAAAAGGGTAAAGGGATCCCTTACAGAATCTCACTTCCAGATGAAAAGGGAAAGAGAGATCTTCACCCTCAAGACTTTTATTTTTTCTTTCTGATTTATTCATTGCTTCTTTTGAGCTAGTTCCCTCCTCACACAAGATATGTTTAAGTCTACATTTATCACCAAATTTGCAATAACCTTGCAAAAAGAATCTACAAATATCAGCTGCAGTCTCTGCCTTCTTTCCTGCCTTACTTTTTCCTGAGTTTTCCTTTCTGCTTTCGTGCTTAAATTTATCCAGTAGAAAGGGCAAGGATAATTTTATTGTCCACACATTGTCTGCAATAACCTCTGTAAAGGCGTCATTGTAAATTGATTCAAGAGCCACTGCTTCTTCTTGTCTATGAGACGATGCTTCCTGGAACTTTTCATCGCTATAATCGGGATTTGTCTTTCCAAGACAACTTAGTCCACAACAGCTGCAGATTAAAAACTCCAGCGCTGCTCCTAAATCACCTTCGCTCTCCTTAAGAGCTTCAGTGCATCTAATTCTCTCAAAGCCGCACTGCTGCAATTTTTTAACCGCATGAGAACTATAAATTTCTTCGTCAATTTGTGATTCGCCGTCGCGATTATCAGCATTGCTGACACCACCCTCAATCAAGAGTTTGTTATCGCCAAATTTTTTCCAATAAGCTTCATTGATCCTCGCCTGCTTAACACTGGAAACCAAACTCTTCTGGTCCTCGTGGCCGCTTTGAGAAAGTTGCAAGTCATGCAAAACTTCTTTAATCATTTCCTGGTTTTCTATGCTCATTTGAAGTTTTTGAATCGGGGCCTTCGATCTCCGTTTAATTTTCGGTATCACGTCTCTCTCTTTTACCGGCAAAAGATCACGAGGTTTGCTAACATCACCATAGTCATTGTCGTCTTCCAAGTCCTCTTGTTTTTCTAATTTTGAAGGAAAAACGGTACGATTTACCGAGCGCGGCTTTAAATTGTGACGTCCTCCCCCTCGATTTGGTCTTCGAGACCCACCACGTCCGCGATTCATTCTTAAATACTTAATTTACTCAACTACTGACTCTAGTACGGCTAAGTTCAAACGTCCTTTCTTCCGTGACAAATATTCACCAGGCGTCTTTATTTTAGCTTCCAGGGCCTCTCTGACGTTTATAGGGGGCTGTCTTGAATAAGCCTGAGAGTCATCAAAGAAGGAACGATTCGAATCCTGAATGTCTCTGATACAAACCTGTCTCCTCCGTCAGCTAGGGCTGCAAGTGGTACTTGGTAAATACAGGAATCGGGGACAATTGTGAGTTCTGGATCCTTCGGTGCAAATGGGCCACAGGAGCGATGATTATCTCGTAACACAATATCTTTAGCATAATTATCAGGCGTAGTGAAGTGAGATCAGTTCGGTTTCATCCAAAGATCAATTTTTGCAATTCTGTTCGGGTAAAACACCAAGGCCGCGGAAACTTTCTTTAAAAAAACTCATCCAAGTCAGGGACCAATCAGGTCACCGCGTCCTTTTCCAGACTTTTCAAGACCCTTCAAAAACAGAATAACTCTCGTTTCTTTGAGAATCCAAAACAGTACATGTTCTTCATCAACCGAAACGTACAGGCATGTACATTAAGGCTCTTTTCAGAAGATCTCTTGAATGCCACACCATGATTGTGGATTGCCTAAGATCTGCTCTTCGACACAGTACCGAGCTTCCATCAAGTCGGCTAAGCCTCTTGCCCGTCTCAATTCTTCGACATGAAGGGCTTCTTGTGGCTTTGCGGTAGAAGAGAGCAACCAGCTGAGCAACTTGTAGGGAAGAGTGCCGTGCGCCTCTAGAAGAGATGTTTTAAGCTGATCGTTATCTTTAAGAGAGTTCTCGCACAGAGTCGAATTTTTCAATGCTTATGAAAAGATACGAAAAGGTCTCTTTAAGATCAAATTGTGATATCTTCAACACCGTTATACTACATAGGAATTGAAACTCGTTCAAGCAGTGTTCAATATCCCTGCTTAACAGGAGAGCCGTCTTGAGGTGTTGTTCATGCAGCCACTGTCATGTTTACCAAGTGATTGGAAACACAATCCGAGTTTTGCGTACGTGGTTACAGCTCCTTCTTTCTCGCCAGTTTCCATGTAAATTGCAAGGGCATTCATGAGATACTTTTCAGCCCTATCATATTCACCACACCGAATATAAATCATCCCGAGGTGTAAGTAACCCGCTGCTTCTCCGCTTCTGTCACCGATTCCCATTCTAATTGTCAATGTTCTCTCAAGGTAATCGTCAGCCTTTCGATATTTACCTTGTGACAGATATAAAGCTACTAAGTTTCCATAACTGTGTGCTTCTCCTATTCTGTCGCCGATGATCTTTGCAATGCGTGTGTTATGTTAATGGAGCGCTATTGCATGGAATGAGCTTGGGCAGATAGGCTACAACATCAACCGGTGGATTGTTCTGAAAAATATATACTGCCATCAAGAATAGGCAAAACCCCCTAAAACAGCTCATTTTTCAACAGTTGCCGGATAAATCTTTCAAACAATTGCATTTATGGAAGAGGCTACTTAGTGTTTTAGGTGGTCAGGCCAAAGACAACAATAAATCATGCGTCTGATTTCATGTGACCACCACTTTTTAATAGCAACTCTCGTGAAATTAAAAATTTTTCAGCACCGCTTGTAGAAGAAAATCTGTGTCTTTCAAACCGAATGTGACGTCAACCTTACAAGGTTTTGAGCCCTCTCTGCTTTATTCCTACTTGGAACAGGTCATGTCAAACATGGCCGAGGGGATGAGGTCTAGGCGGAGCGGGTAAGTGCCGTTAAACGGCACAGTCTTGTCGACTGTCTGTCAGTGTTGCAGACAGGGGTAAGAATATTTACATTCGAAAAAATAAGCTGGTTTCCTCCTCCATATGGTGCTGTTGTAAAGCTGTCTAGAGCGGTAGTTGTAAGTGCTTTAAGTAGTTGGCGATGGGTCATCTTTTCAATTATTTAATTAAGTAAAAGCTTTCAAAACCCAGTTAATAAGAACAAAAGGAGAGTCCAGAAGCCATAGACTACGTAACTAAAATCAAGAATTCAGGTAAATCACGTAATGAAAGAATTCTCTGGCTGTCAGGGACACAAAATAATAAATTTAACACAATAGGCGTTTGGGAAAATATTCAAAAATTACGGAGGTGAGTAAAAATAGCTTTGAATTGAATATGCTATCAACGCTTTTATTTGACTTTAAGAATAGCGTGTAAAGAGATAAGGAATATCAGCAATTTACTTCGTAACTACATGCTTCAAGGTAAACTATTCGCTTAAAGTACAGTCTGAAATTTTGTAGACGCACATTACAGAAATCAAAATAATTTTGCTCTCCGTAGATGTTAAGCTGATTACTTTGCAAATTTGCATCATTTCTTGGGACAAAATATCGTTTACTTTTTATTTATACACGTGTGCACAATAGATCGCAAACATGGCACACCTCTCACGGAGTCAACGGCATTCTAAAAATAGAATTTTACCCGTTATCTCCTGCGCAACGCTGCAAACGAAACTCACTCTGATGCCTGAAGCGCATACGCAAACTGTGCATTTTACCTCTATCAAAAGTATCACCAAAAGAAATTTCCAAAATGAATGACCTTATTTGTTTGCCTCAATTGGTAATTCATTGCGTTTCATTTATACATAGCTGCGACGTGAGCCTTACGTAAAGGACAGTGTTTTGAAAGAAAGGCTTTCTCGCGTTAAGTAAAACCTTGATACCTTTTCCTCGACGTTGCAGTATAAATGGAAATATATATATGGCAAGCTTTTGTCTCGACGAAAGTTAAAGACAAGTTTTTTGGCTGATGTACATAGCTAGCAATTTTTTTCGAATCCTTGGCAAGAGTTCTTGTCAAGAAAACTTCAAATGCCGCCTAACAAGTTCATTAGATAAAGTTTATATGCAAGGGTTAATAAAGTTGTCTTTATATCCTTGATCTTGAGATCAACGGAATCTCAAACAACCATTCGGCTTAGTTCTGAAACCCCATGCTAAAGTTGTTAAGTCAACACTTTGATGCAATCAAACCTCGTTAACTGGGCTCAATTCCTGGTGAACGCACGCGTTTCAGGTGAATTCATGAGCTACCTCGTGCTTCCGGATCGTGAGCTCAGTCATTGCTCACACACATAAGACTGTGATTTTTTCCATGAAACTTTTTACAGCTTGAAAGAAATTCTTAATCGTTCCTTCAGAGCAAGGTGGCCAAAAAAGCGTTCGTGTTTCATAAAGCCTCCAACTGACTAAGCCTTTATTTTACATTAAGCCTGGCTACCATAAAATCGCCTCGCTTGATTCGAAAAGATTATAGCGAAACTTCACCAAATTAAAAGTCACCAACGACCCGAACAATTGAGACGTCATCGATTGCACGTAGTATGGTAACGAGGCATTTCTCTTATTTTTATCAAACAGTGGAAGATTCCAATGAACTAAGTTTCATTTGTTTATCTTGGCTGTGTCAGTGATGATGAAATGACAATCGATGGTCTTGTGCGTGGCTGTACCAGATTCCGACAGGACCCTATTAGAATCCTTATGGCTCTTCTCATCTCGGCATCGCGGAAGGCGTACACAAAGGGATTTAAGGCGCTGTTACTGTACTGCAGGCACTTGATGCAGGCTCCGATACGCCCTATATCTACGAGGGCCAAATTGCAAGGGAAACAATACGTAAACACGAACGCACCCAATAAGTGGGGGAGCCAAGTTATGAAGAACACGCCACTGATCACTAATAGCGTCGAAGCCGTTTTTATCTCGCGTCGAATTTTCCTCCTCTCATTGGCCCTAGTTACATTTGCTTCTCCCGCTGGTTCCACATTGCTGTGAATCAAAGACTTGGTGATCTTGAAAATGAGAGCGTTTACAAGAGAAATGACGAACAGCGCTAAGAGGAACACAGTCGAGAGGGTGTACAGAGGAAAGTTTTTGCTGATGCGGGGAGTTAGTGCGAAATGAAGAGAGGAGAGCAAGATGGACAAAACCCAGACAACTCCTAGAGTAAAATGATAGGACTTCAAAGGAAGACGGTGGTGCAAGAAAGGTTTAGAGATGGCGATGTATTTGTCCACCGTCACTGACATCAAATGAAAAACAGACGCGGTGCCGCTGAAGATATCCAAGGACATGAATGTCTTGGTCAGCAGATGGTTGACGGAATAGCCTTCCCTCAGCGTTACAAGATAAAGAGGCACAGCTATTGCACCGATGAGCAAGTCGGATACCGCTAGACTTACTATGAAGATATTCGAACTTGTACGTAGCCTGAGAGTTTTCTTGTATGCTAATATGATGAGTGTGTTTCCAACTAAAATAAACGATATCAAACCGAAGAGGAAAGCGTCTCGCGCAATTTTCTCGCCTTCTGGAGGCCCGTACATCTGGGTG